AGGGATTGGACACCGATTTCGAGGCGAGTGCAGCCGTAGCGAAGCATGGCAGAGAGATGTTGGTCCAAACAGTAATCTGGCCGTGTCTCAATTGTGATACCAACACACTTGACGTTGCTCATTTCGCCCGCGGCCACAGCCTCATCCACATTCGTCGTTTGGTATCCGCTCAGCGCATTGTGGAGCTGACTAATGAACTCGTTCCGGTAATCTTCTGCCAGCGACATAAATGTGCCTCCCATGATAATATATTCAACTTTGTCCACACTGTGGCCCAAGGCCTTGATCTGGTCGACGCGGCCTCTGGCTTGCTCGTATGGATCGTAGCGCGCGCGGATTGCGCGCATCGATGTGGGTTCATAGCCGGTGTAAGATTGTGTTGAATACTCGAAATCGGAATCGGGACCTCCGGGGCAGTAGACGCAAATGTTGCCGGTGTATGCAATGTGTGGGCAGCGGTGGGGCTTGCACATCACCGCCACAACGGCGATTCCAGACGAAGTTCCTAGAATTTGTTAGCGATGATCTGGATAGCGACGCAAGAGTCATACGAATGGGCTTTGCAATCAGTTTGGGCAGAATGTATTTCTTGTAATGCTCGGGGACTGCAGCAATAATTGCAGTCAGAGGCGGTTGGGTGCTGAGGAAGTGCTTTTTGGCCATTTGGCCGCGCAGCGCATTCAGATTGATGTCCTTTTTGGGCTTGGAACCATCCACGGAGGCCTCGTAGTCCTGGATGAGTGCGCTCGCAATGTCTGCGCAGGCGCGCATGTAGCGCTCGTTCTCTGGCGGCAGCTTGACATTTTTTGGCAGTCGGCGCTTGGGCTGGGTCGCGGTGACGGTCATGGTCGCCATGTTGGGCCGGGAGCCGGGTGAAATGTCGACCTAAGGTAAAGGTATCGAGCGTGGTGGTGGTGACACAGGTGTTGGTGGCTACGACATGGATGATGGTGGGCAAGTTGGACTGAGTGGGTCGGTGTCTGGGGAGCGGCGGCCGAAGAAAACCAATCGGCCCTTGCGCTTACAACATCTCTCCTCCGTGCTAGCAAACTGCCGCAGCAAACCCTACGACCTTCCGGTTCGCGACAACCGACCTCAATCCATCCCACTCCACTCTTTTTCTAGAGCACAGTTCGCATCATGCAGGCATTCCGTCGTCCCCTGTGCTCCGCACTCAGCGCCGCTGGCCGCAGGCAGGCCTACTCGACGGCCTCGCCCTACGCCGCGACTGCTCCCAACCTGCGCATCAACAAGGACACCAAGGTTCTGTTCCAGGGTTTCACGGGCAAGCAGGGAACGTAGGTAGCTTTACTGTCTTCATTCGCGACTTTGCGTGCTGACGAGTCCCCAGCTTCCACGCCCAACAGGCCATCGAATACGGTACGAGCTCAAGCTCTTCATAGCTCCATTCAAAGCGAAGACACTTTTTGATAAGGAACCAGGCACAAACGTCGTCGGCGGCACCAACCCAAAGAAGGCTGGCACTGAGCATCTTGGTAAGCCCGTGTTTGCCAGCGTCGAGGAGGCCAGGAAGACTACGGGCGCCGACGCCTCTGCCATCTTTGTCCCTCCCCCTCTGGCTGCTGCCAGTATCGAGGAAGCCATCAAGGCAGAGGTTCCCCTCGTCGTCACCATCACCGAGGGCATTCCCCAGCATGACATGGTCCGCATCACCGACATGCTCAAGACCCAGAGCAAGACGCGCATGCTGGGCCCCAACTGCCCCGGTATCATCGCACCTGTATGTTTACCCCGCCCGCAACCCAAGCAGCCTCATTTTAACACTCGTCCAGGGTCAATGCAAGATTGGCATCATGCCCGGTTTCATCCACAAGCGCGGCCGCGTCGGTATCGTGTCTCGTTCGGGTACCCTGACCTACGAGGCTGTCAACCAGACGACCCAGACCGGTCTTGGCCAGTCCCTCGTCGTCGGTATCGGCGGTGACCCCTTCTCCGGCACCAACTTCATCGACTGCCTGAACATCTTCTTGAAGGATGAGGAGACGGAGGGTATCATCATGATTGGCGAGATTGGTGGCAGCGCCGAGGAGGACGCTGCAGACTTTTTGAAGGCCAACAACACGATGAACAAGCCTGTTGTCAGCTTCATTGCCGGTATCTCTGCGCCGCCGGGAAGGAGGATGGGACACGCCGGTATGTTTTCCCGTCAGGCCTACTGGGCAAGAGCATTAGCTGATTCGCAAACAGGTGCCATTGTGTCTGGTGGCAAAGGTGACGCCAACTCCAAGATCACTGCTCTGGAGGGCGCGGGCGTCGTCGTCGAGCGCAGCCCTGCGGCGCTGGGCAAGACGCTGCACGCCGAGTTTGTCAAGCGCGACTTGATCTAATGGAACATATAGACAAATGGGGGGGCGGAATGCCGTGCAGAGGAATTGAGATTGGGTTGGCCGGTCCTATGAGATTTGAGCGTTTGGGTTTGCGTGCATTGCTCCGCAGCTGTACAGTTTATCTAGATTTGGCGGCAAACGGCGGTCCCGGCTGGTTTTTTTTTTTTTTTAAAAAAAAAAAAAAAAAAAAATACCCTCTACTTGATAGCCGAGTTATCTCCTAGGTCCCTGCAGAAAAGTGAGGTGATGTGTGGCAGCCCAACATGAACCCACTCTGGTAGTGGAGCGTGGCCGGCGATCACCCCCGGATCCCTGACTCCCGCTCCATTCCACCGCCGTGAACTCCAGTCCAACCCCTCGATCGAGACGACCTCAACGTCCGCCAACACCACCGCCCGCCCGCTGCCTGCTGCTCCTGGCTGTCGCGATAATGTGCAACCAGACCCCTCCCTCCTTGTCTCACTCGCTTGGCTGACCCTGACCTCGCAGGCTCTCCGGCATCCTCATCTTCAATCAAAAGGGCGAGAACCTCATCTTCCGCGCCTTTCGCAACGACTGCCGCCCCCGTCTCGCCGACGTCTTTCGCATCCAAGTCATTAGCAATGCCCAAGTGCGCTCGCCCATCCTGACCCTCGGATCCACCACCTTCAGCCATGTCAAGCATGAAAACATCTACCTCGTTGCCGTTACTAAGAGTAACGCCAACGCCGCCCTCGTCTTCGAGTTTCTGTACCGAATGGTTGGCTTGGGAAAGGCATACTTTGGCAAGTTTGACGAGGAGGCTGTCAAGAACAACTTTGTCCTCGTCTACGAGCTTCTCGACGGTGCGTCTGAAGCTTCAGAGATCTAATGCACGGAATGCTCACGCCGCACAGAGATACTGGATTTCGGATACCCACAAAATACCGAGACGGAGACACTGAAGATGTACATTACCACCGAGGGTGTCAAGTCTGAGCGCGCAATGGTATGTGGCTATCGTGCTTTGGAAGCTCCAGCATTGACACAGAGCAGGAGGATTCGTCCAAGATCACCATGCAGGCGACTGGCGCGCTCTCGTGGAGGCGCTCGGATATCAAGTATCGCAAGAACGAGGCTTTTGTCGATGTCATTGAGGATGTTAACCTCCTCATGTCCGCCACGGGAACTGTGCTTCGCGCCGATGTCAACGGCCAAATTGTCATGCGCGCGTACCTGTCCGGCACCCCCGAATGCAAGTTTGGACTCAACGACCGTCTCACATTGGGAGAAGACAGTCTCTCCACGCCATCCGGTAATCGATCGGGGACGAAAGCAACTCGCGCCGCCGCCGGATCCGTTACCCTGGAGGACTGTCAATTCCATCAATGCGTAAAGCTGGGCAAGTTCGATACGGATCGCATCATCAGCTTTGTCCCTCCAGACGGCGAGTTTGAGCTGATGCGGTATCGCGCGACGGAAAATGTGAACCTGCCGTTCAAGGTGCATGCTATCGTCAATGAAGTCGGCAAGACCAAAGTCGAGTACAGCATCGCAATTCGCGCCAACTACGGCTCCAAGCTATTTGCGACCAATGTAGTCGTGCGCATCCCAACTCCACTCAACACAGCAAACATCTCTTCGCGGACCAGTCAGGGCAAGGCCAAGTACGAGCCCGAACACAACAACATTGTGTGGAAGATTCCACGCTTCACGGGCCAAAGCGAGTACGTTCTCAGTGCCGAAGCAACGCTGACGAGCATGACGAACCAAAAGGCGTGGAGCCGACCACCACTCAACCTAAGCTTCAGCCTGCTCATGTTCACAAGCAGTGGGCTGTTGGTGCGCTATCTCAAGGTTTTTGAAAAGAGCAACTATAGCAGTGTCAAATGGGTCAGGTACATGACGCGTGCTGGGAACTACGAGATTCGGTTTTAATCACTGGCTTCGTTGGGGTCCTAAACAACGGTATCCCTGGTGAGCATGGCATTTGCCTGGTTCTCTGGGCGATGGGTGTGGTTATGGCGCTGGGGCGTTTTGAGAAGCGTGGCATCACGGACTTTCTTGACGGGGACTTTTTTGCATTGGGTCGGTGTTTATTTTTTGGATACCTGGTCTTCCCCGCAGCTCTTTCTGTTGTACCATTCGAGGCCTGCTGTTAAAAGCTTGTGGCTCACGCAACCATTCGAACGTTTTCTACCAGCCATTTTGGCTTCCCAGAACCTGGATGCTTCTCCTTACTACAGCCTTGGATATCGTGAGGGCTTCTCATCCGCGCCTCCATCACAGCACACTTGGAGCTTTACAAGGTTCCGTTCTCTACTCACAAACGGCCGAGGACAGGAATCTACGGTTTTCCTCCCCACATGGTCGCGCTCTCCTACCCAGAACGAGGAACAACTCTTGCGTCCATCGGCCTGTCTTCTTTGCACAACACACTGTCGTGCTCATTATCGAGCTTCGTACAGTCCTATCTTGTTTTCATTCTTCCCCGCCACTGCGCGCATTTCCGCTCCGTTCCGCCCCGCTCCGCCCCGCTCCGCCCCGCTCTACCCCACCACACACACACCCCTCGTCCAAAAAAAGAAAAGAATAGTTTCTCATGCCCTGTCCCTGGCTATCTATAATATATTTGTAATCCCCCTCCTCAGCATTCCATAATAAGCTCTTTGAGAGCTCCAAAAATCCTTCCCAGGTGATGTGGTGTAGGGGTAGCATGCGTCGTTGTGGAGCGTCCCACAACATCAGCCCTTAGGTTGGTTGTTTGCTGTTTGATGGATGATCACAACGCCGACTCGACCTGGGTTCGATTCCCAGCATCGCCAGCTTGATGCTTCCACGCCCAGCGTGGATGATCGTAGTCCTTTTTGCTCTTCTGATGGAGGTGGTTGGGGAGGGTGGGGGGTTGCGAGGGGAGGTGGGAAGCTGGCGTGAGGGACGCAGTTTCGTTGGCTCCTCTAGCCGGGCGCAGTCTTTTTGCCCTGTGTGAAATGGCAGTTCAATTTGTGGGAGAAAGGGATGCTGGCAGGAGATATTGCAACAGTGACAGTGTTGCGTGCAAGCAATTCGATGGATGGGTGCTCGCTCCTAGACGCATTCTCGTGTCGCCTGTGTCAAAGGCGTGTGGGGATCAAGCGCTTTGTTTTTGTTTGCCCTAATCTGGAAGGGTCCACAAGCTACATGTAGAACAAGACATATCGAAGGATTGACAACGGATTCGCCCTTTCGACCGCTGCAACCCTTTCCTGCAAGTTCTATCGCATCGCCGTTCGCAATCGGTCAACATTCCTGGCCAGCAACAGGAATCCGAGGCGGACAATTTGGGCGTCGAGAAAACCTTGGCAGGTTGGCTCCGGAGGCCGAGTAGATTGGGTCATCCTGGGAGCACCGGTGGGAATGATTCGTGAGAGTTTTGTTGACGGGTTTTGGGTAGAGACAGGCTTTGAGGCTGGAATCTGTCCTGTCGACTGTGTGCCCGTCGAAAGAATCGCGATAGATAGCAATGATGTTGCCATGTTAGCGCGCGTGATGGTGGAGGTTCTAGCGGTCACTAGATTCGGAACTTGAGCGGGCGCAGGCGATCAAGTGAACAGAAGATCCAGAAGTCAGAATGACTGTGCCACAACGTCCGCCTCACGCGCTTACGCGAAGTCGCGATTGACGACACCCAAGCGCGTCAAAAGTCTTTGCTTTTTGTGCCTCGTGCAACCTCAGGTCTGTCTGCTGGCCTTTGCAACCGGCTCCCGTTTAAGTATCGGCCCTCGCCGTCAACAACTGCTTCGGCAGATCGCGCAATCATGGCCGAACTCCAGTGCCCGTTCTGTTCCTTCTCTGACAGGGATTCGTACTTTCTGATGCTGCACGTCGAGGAGCTTCACACGGACGACTCGCCCTTTGTCGCCCGGGACAACAACTCCTCTCCTCCATACGCCCCTTCTCCAAAGCTGCCCGGAAAGCAGGCCTGCCGCGACAGTCCGTCCAACGAAGAAGGCGAAACCGACTGGCTGCTCTGTCCCGAGGAAAATTGCGGAGAACAGCTCCCGCTCTACGAGCTCAACGATCATCTCGATTTACATCTCGCAGAGACGTTGGAATATCAAGAAGCCGCCGGCATCTCTTCGTCGTCATCATCCACAGCCGCCAACATGCGTTCCCCGTCAACCATTGCTTCTGAGCATTCATTTAGCGGCAACAGCTTCTCGACGCAATCGAATCGCCATGCCCGGGCCCGCCTCCCATCCGACGACTCTGAAAAGACGACCTTAACCCGCAGCTTTCTGGACATCATCAAGCCCTCTTCGCCGTCAAAGAAGAAGAGTGGTTCCAGGCCTGCTCAAAATGGTCGTCTTGGAGTGAGTGTGCTCGAAAATTTTGGCCCAGTCTTGTTGCTAATCTTCCTTCTACAGAAATCTGAGCTGGGTCCTTATGCTTTTGAAGAGCAAATGCCCGCATGGCTGTATCGGCAGATAGAAGCCGGTCCCAAGGTCACAGTAGCCAACCGCATTGGCCGCGATGGCCGTAATATCAAGGTCGAAGAGGTGGACAATGAGACCCCCGGAATTCTCCCTGTCCTGGCCCAGCTTTGCTCAATTGATCGGGGCGTCAGCCGCGCTTACCTTTGCCACCCTAGCACCATTTTCATCACCAAACGGCAAAATGAGGGCGGCTTTTGCGGCTATCGCAACACCCAGATGCTCGTCTCTTACATTCAGGGCTCAAAGGCTCAAGGCCATGACAAGTTTGGTTCGCGTACGCCCGGCATCCTCTTGCTGCAAGACATGATTGAAGAAGCTTGGGACAAGGGCATCAACACTGTTAGTCGTACCCAGACCGGTGGAATCCGAGGGACGCGCAAGTACATTGGCACGCCAGAGGTAAGTGACTGTTGCCTGCCGGCCTTCCAAAGCCTAGCTCACATGACCCAGGTCGAAGCCCTGCTGCGGAGTCTCGGCATCGACCATGGCCTGCAAATGTTCACGGACCGTCCAGACAGTCAAGCGCACGAGCAGCTCCTGAATGATGTCGAGTCCTACTTCGAGGCAGCGGTCGAAGACGACGAGAATATCAAGGTGCACAAGACGCACTTGCCGCCCATCTACCTGCAACAGCCCGGTCACTCAATCACCATTGTCGGCTTCGAGAGGCTCAAAGACGGCACCCGCAATCTTCTCGTCTTCGATCCCATGTTCAGAACCTCGCCGGGCATGCACCGAATTCTTGGTCGAAAGGACCTGCGCACGCATCGACCCGAGATTCTGCAAGCCTATCGAAGGGGTGCCAGGCAGCTGAGCAGGCACAGAGACTTTGAGATGATCAAGCTCACTGCTCATCCGCCGCTCTTCCCGGCATGGGACGTATGAAGTCCCTCCTTCCTATGCTCCACAATCGTTACACATTCCCGACATTGCTACATATCATAATACCCGGCATTGCAATAGGCGTCTGCTCTCACTAGTTGCTAAAAGTCAACAGGTCATTTCGATTTTTCCCGATTGTCCCTACCTCTACGTCTTCTTTCATGCTCCTACGCTGGATTACCACATCATTCCGGAGCACTGTTTCACGGTGCTGTTCCCCTGGCAAAGCTTCGGAGCATTGTTCTCTGTCCAAGACGCCCGATTCGCCTCCACCGACACGACCAACGACGCGGCGATTGACAGCGGTCTGTTGGGTGGAATGCCGGTCCTGCTGGACAAAGCCTACCTTGAGTGGATGAAACCATCTACTGGACCAGATTCCGTGTGCGCCATCAAAACGACCAATACCGTTAGCTCCCATCCTTCTTCTATTGCCGCTTACCTCGAGGCCCATCAAGGTGAGGAACTTCCGGAGGATGTGTACTTTGAAAAGTCCGTCGAAGCCCCCGTTGCCATCCATTATGCCTGTGGCATGCCCTTTCGACCCGGATACATCCATCACGCCTTCAAACGGTGCCAGCCCCCAAATCCCTTCAAACGCTATCAAAACAGCGAAAGCTCTTCATCGACGATCAGCATTCCCGGTGGGAGCAGCGAGAACAGCCCAACATCTCCGTATCCTCCATTTGCTCCGGGGGCGCGCCCACCAAGCAAATATCCAGAGAAACGGCTGCGGCCTTTGAGTCCTCGCACTGCCGGATGGCCATTTGCACCACCACAGGCCCAATCCCAGCAGCATTGTTTGTCTCCACAAAACATCCAATCACTTCCTTCTCCTTCACCGTCCGTCTGCTCGATGTCGGGAGCTGCTGATGGTGGAAGTGGAGAGCCTAGTTGCCAGCATTGTGCATACGCAACAAGGTATGCAGACTGGCTCTATCCACAAATGCACAAGCAACCGTACCATGAGCGGAGAGACTCTGGTATCGGCTGCACAACAGAATTTCCTGGTCAATTCAATGCGACGGCTCTGCCACTCCCCTCTCTGCAATCCCCAGCTCCAACGCGTACGCCCTCCCTCGCCTGCCACTATCATCAGCAAATCAACCTCCCTTATCGGCTCAAGCAAGACTCACAAGACCACTACTCGAGCGACTATCATCAGATACCTTCTCGTCGCCGATGGTCACAAGCTACCAACTCCACTGTGACGTCGACATACCATCATCCCTCGGCCTCGGCGCCAGTGCCGGATCAGCTCGAAGACTTCTTTTACGAGATGGGAAGTGACGGACGACAGTCAGTCTTTTACGGCACGGGCAATGGGATGCACAAGGGAAAAGAGGTGCGCAACGCCAGGACCTGCGGTAACTGGAGGGACTGCTGAACCGTGGATGGGCAGAGTCTGATGGACGCTTTTTGCTTCTTGCTTTTGGGTTTCCTTTGTCTTTTCACGTGGACACGACGGTGTTTGGGCTGGCTGCTGGGTTCAAGAGGCGGGGGAAATTCTTGACATGGGTAGAGAAGGGTTTTATGTGGATGGCATTGGCGTGGCTTTGCAATGGCATGCGCGGACTCGGACAGGTGGTATGCATGCGTGGGCAAGAATTGGTAGATTAGAGTAGAACTCGGAAATTCAGGTAGATGGTTTAATGGGATGACATTCCAATCCGTCACTGGCCTTTGAATGTGAAGGCTCCATGTTCCACGCAAAAGTCAGGACCCTGAGGCATGGAGTAAGGAGGGCAGCGTAGAACGTCTGCGTGTGAGCAGTGAGGGCTGCGAAGCGCAGGGCACCTTCTCAAAGAGAACGAGGAGCAGCACTTCAATCACCATCGACTCAAAGAATTCCAGTGGAGGCAAAAGACTGTTAACATACATTGGCGCGCTCAACATTTTTGCTGTCTAAATGCTACAGAATACTCATTACATCCGGATTGGAGCTAAAATGATTAAAGCAAATCTCGCCAATGATCCTGCCCGCGTCCATGAGCTCCTGCTCGACCTCCTCGGCGGGCTTGCCGTGGCCGCCCTCAACGATGCGCGTGTAGGCCAGGACCATGCGCGGGATGAGGAAGCCCTTGCCGCCGTACTGCGTGTTGCGCACCCAGTGCTCGGCCAGCTTGGTGTAGCGCTGCAGCACGTCGCAGATGCGGTCGCGCACGTACGGCATCTCGGCCACGAGGTTGTGCGACGACGGCATGCTAGGCGTGGGTTTGGGCCTGGGCCCCACGGCGTGCAGCAGACAGTCGCACAGGTAGAGCACGGCGTAGAAGAGGCCAGTCTTCCAGGCCTTGTTGGAGGGCTGCATGGCCGAGGCAAAGAAGCGCGTTGGGTTGGGCCCGATGGTGCCGTCGAGCATGGCTAAAGCTGTTGTCAGGCATAGGCTTTGCGAGAAGTTGTATCGCGGGTCGTTGCGGACGGCGAAGGGTACGTGGAGCACCAGGATGTAGCGACGGTAGAGGTGC